TCAGTGTAGTGTGTGTGTATCAGGAGGTGCTCCAGCGTCAGCTGCAGGTGTGTGTGTGTGTGTCATGTTTCACACGTGTGTGTCATGTGTCGTGTGTGTCGTGGAGGTGTCAGCGTCAGCTGCAGGTGTGTGTGTGTGTCAGGAGGTGTGTCATGTGTGTGTGTGTGTCCAGGAGGTGCTCCAGCGTCAGCAGCTGTGGTGTGTGTGTGTGTCATGTTTCACACGTGTGTGTCATGTGTCGTGTGTGGTGTGTGTATCAGGAGGTGCTCCAGCGTCAGCTGCAGGTGTGTGTGTGTGTGTCATGTTTCACACGTGTGTCATGTGTCGTGTGTATCAGGAGGTGCTCCAGCGTCAGCTGCAGGTGTGTGTATGTGTGTCATGTTTCACACGTGTGTGTCATGTGTCGTGTGTCGTGTGTATCAGGAGGTGCTCCAGCGTCAGCTGCAGGTGTGTGTGTGTGTGTCATGTTTCACACGTGTGTGTCATGTGTCGTGTGTGTCGTGTGTATCAGGAGGTGCTCCAGCGTCAGCTGCAGGTGTGTGTATGTGTGTGTCATGTTTCACACGTGTGTGTCATGTGTCGTGTGTGTGTGTGTATCAGGAGGTGCTCCAGCGTCAGCTGCAGGTGTGTGTGTATGTGTGTCATGTTTCACACGTGTGTGTCATGTGTCGTGTGTGTCGTGTGTATCAGGAGGTGCTCCAGCGTCAGCTGCAGGTGTGTGTATGTGTGTCATGTTTCACACGTGTGTGTCATGTGTCGTGTGTGTGTGTGTATCAGGAGGTGCTCCAGCGTCAGCTGCAGGAGGCCAACAGGAAGGCTCAGGAGTACCGGCAGCAGTTGTTGAGGAAGGAGCAGGAGGCCGAGGAATATCGGATCAAACTGGAGGCCATGTCCCACGTCCGGGCCAACGTCGGCGCCGACGCCCCGACCAACGGCGCCGACGATCCCGACGACCCGGCCGACGGCGAGAACGGCGAGCGCGACGAGGTGGAGGGAGAAGAGGAAGTGGTCGGCATCATCATGACGGAGGAGGGGGAGGGGCAGGAAGTGACGCTGGTGACGGGCGCCGCCGAGTGACGGGCGCCGCCCATTTAAACCTGGTCTGGTCCTGGTTCAGACCTGGACTAGACCTGGTCTAGACATGTTTCTGGGCCAGAGGACCAGGACCAGGTCCAGGTTCTTCTTCTGCCAAACGTCGTCCATTTTAAACCCGGGTGGGACTCTGGAGGGTCCTAAAATGGCCGCCTCCTTCAGTGAACTTTAACCTTTGTAATAAACTCCAGGAATGTTTGTTTTAGCTCATTTATTTCCTCCCCCTGTCCCCGCCCCCACTCCCCCTGTCCCCGCCCCCTGTCTGTCTCTGTTGTTTGTTTGTACATAAAAGTGTATTTTTGTAACCACGACAACGATGATGAAACATTAGAGACATAAAAATGTTTTTGGAAAATCTGATTCTTTTATTTCACTGAAACGAGACTCAAAACGCTCAGAGGGTCAGAGGTCACAGGTCACATTAAACTCTTCTGTCTGGAGGTCACAGGTCGTTAGTTTGGCGTCAGAGTCGCGGCTCCGACGACATTTCCTGTGACCAAAAAACTGCACAGAACAAACGTGAGGAGCTCAGACTGAACCAGACCGAGACTGAGACCAGGACCAGACCAGGACCAGAGTCCAGTTTAGAGCCCAGAGTTTTTTTACTGAACAAGTTTGAGTTTCTTTTATTTCCGCAAAAGTCTTCACCCCCCCACGCGGCAGAGTGGTTGTCCTGTGCGGCAGGTGCGTGCGGCAGGTGCGTGCGGCAGGTGCGTGCGGCAGGTGCGTGCGGCAGGTGCTCCTTCAGACTCGGTGGACGAGTCCAAACATGGAGCTGTTCAGAGTCGCTCCTTCGTCCTGAAGTTTCACTCGTCTTCGTCTGGACTCGGTGCGTTGCTCGAGGGCAGGTGCAGTGACAGGTGCTCCAGCAGCGCCCCCGCCCCGCCCGCCTCCTGCCCGCACACGGAGCAGCAGAACCCGCCCCCGCCGCGCCTCAGGTCGTCCCCCGCCCAGCGCCTCAGGTCGTCGTCGGCGCCGCTCAGGTCCAGGTTGTAGTTGTGTTCCAGGAGCAGAACCTCAGAAGAACAACTCTGCCCACAGAACCAACAGCGACGCTCCACCGGACGCGGCGCCCGCCCCCCGACAACGCCACGCCCCCCGACAACGCCACCGCCACGCCCCCGACAACGCCACCGCCACGCCCCCCCGACAACGCCACCGCCACGCCCCCCGACAACGCCACCGCCACGCCCACGATCGATCATGGACCCACACTCAGGGCAGAACTGCAGAGTCTCAACCCCAAACAAGCCCTGCTCCTGGTCCTGGTCCTGGTCCTGCTCCTGGTCCCGGTCCCGGTCCGGGTTCTGGTCCTGGATCTGCTGCTCCTCTGGCTCCAACTTCACATGAACCAAGTTTAAATCTGAAAACACAAAACCACAAACGAGATCAACAAAAAAAAGAGTTTAATTTATTTGATTTATTCAGTGTCACAAACCTGGAGCCACATGGACCAAGACACACGTCACACACACACGTCACACAACACGACACACGTCACACAACGCACGTCACACAACACCACGCACGTCACACAACAACGCACGTCACACAACACACATCACACACACACACACGTCACACAACACACACGTCACACACACACGTCACACAACACACGTCACACAACACGACACACGTCACACAACGCACGTCACACAACACGACACACGTCACACAACACACACGTCACACAACACGACACACGTCACACAACACGACACACGTCACACAACGCACGTCACACAACACGTCACACAACACACACACGTCACACATCGCACGTCACACATCGACACACGTCACATGACAACACACGTCACACATCGCACGACACACGTCACATGTGACAACACACGTCACACATCACACGTGACAACACACGTCACACATCACACGTGACAACACACGTCACACATCGCACGACACACGTCACATGTGACAACACACATCACACGTGACAACACACACATCGCACGACACACGTCACATGTGACAACACACGTCACACATCACACGTGACAACACACGTCGCACATCGCACGACACACGTCACATGTGACGTCGCACATCGCACGACACACGTCACATGTGACAACACACATCACACATGACAACACACGTCACACGATGCACGTCACACATCGCACGTCACACGACGCACGACACACAAAGTGTCCACTTCATATAAAACGACCAGAACCTGACACACACTGGGGGGGAGGGTCCTGACACACACTGGGGGGAGGGTCCTGACACACACGGGGGAGGGACCTGACACACACGGGGGGAGGGACCTGACACACACGGGGGAGGGACCTGACACACGGGGGGGAGGGACCTGACACACACGGGGGGAGGGACCTGACACACACGGGGGAGGGACCTGACACACACGGGGAGAGGACCTGACACACACGGGGAGAGGGACCTGACACACACGGGGGAGGGACCTGACACACACGGGGAGAGGGACCTGACACACGGGGAGAGGGACCTGACACACACGGGGGAGGGACCTGACACACACGGGGAGAGGGACCTGACACACACTGGGGGACCTGACACACACTGGGGGAGGACCTGACACACACGGGGAGGGACCTGACACACACGGGGGAGGGACCTGACACACACGGGGGGAGGGACCTGACACACACGGGGAGGGACCTGACACACACGGGGGAGGGACTGACACACACTGGGGGGAGGGACCTGACACACACGGGGGAGGGACCTGACACACACGGGGGAGGGACCTGACACACACGGGGGGAGGGACCTGACACACACGGGGGAGGACCTGACACACACGGGGGGAGGGACCTGACACACACGGGGGGAGGACCTGACACACACGGGGAGGGACCTGACACACACGGGGGGAGGGACCTGACACACACGGGGGGAGGGACCTGACACACACTGGGGGAGGGACCTGACACACACGTTCCTGCTTCAAACTCACAACTGAAACTGACGAAAAACAAACAAACACATGAACCAAACCAGGACTAAACCAGGTCTAAACCAGGACTAGACCAGAACTAAACCAGAACTAAACCAGGACTAGACCAGAACTAAACCAGAACTAAACCAGGTCTAAACCAGAACTAAACCAGAACTAAAGAACTAAACCAGAACTAAACCAGGACTAGACCAGAACTAAACCAGAACTAAACCAGGTCTAAACCAGGACTAGACCAGAACTAAACCAGAACTAAACCAGGACTAGACCAGAACTAAACCAGGTCTAAACCAGGACTAGACCAGAACTAAACCAGGACTAAACCAGGACTAGACCAGAACTAAACCAGGTCTAAACCAGGACTAGACCAGAACTAAACCAGGACTAAACCAGGACTAGACCAGAACTAAACCAGAACTAAACCAGGACTAGACCAGAACTAAACCAGAACTAAACCAGGTCTAAACCAGGACTAGACCAGAACTAAACCAGAACTAAACCAGGACTAGACCAGAACTAAACCAGGTCTAAACCAGGACTAGACCAGAACTAAACCAGAACTAAACCAGGACTAGACCAGGACTAGACCAGAACTAAACCAGGACTAAACCAGGACTAGACCAGAACTAAACCAGGTCTAAACCAGGACTAGACCAGAACTAAACCAGGACTAAACCAGGACTAAACCAGGACTAGACCAGGACTAGACCAGGACTAGACCAGAACTAAACCAGGACTAAACCAGGTCTAAACCAGGACTAGACCAGGTCTAAACCAGGACTAGACCAGAACTAAACCAGAACTAAACCAGGTCTAAACCAGGACTAGACCAGAACTAAACCAGGTCTAAACCAGGACTAGACCAGAACTAAACCAGAACTAAACCAGGACTAAACCAGGACTAGACCAGGACTAGACCAGAACTAAACCAGGACTAGACCAGAACTAAACCAGAACTAAACCAGGTCTAAACCAGGACTAGACCAGAACTAAACCAGGACTAAACCAGGACTAGAGCAGGTCTAAGTGGACTCCTGGTCCACATCGGGTCTGACCTGGAGTCTGTGTGTGGATCAGGTCCATCAGGTCTCGGGTCGCTGAGTCCAGACGTTGGTCCAGCGGTGAACCGTCCCGCTCCAGAACCGCCCGGAGCCGAGCCCGAACCGAACCTCTGAGCCGCTCCAGACCCGCGGAGGACCACATCTGAGCCAAGACCAGGACCAGGACCAAACCGGGACCAAACCGGAGTCTCGCGCTAAACTCCTTGTTCCGGTGCGCGTGAGTCTGGACGTGTCGGTGTCGGTGGCGCCTCCTGCAGCGGCGGAGCTGGAACTGCACCTCTGACCTCTGACCTCTGACCCTGGGCAGGTGCGGATGGAGCGTTGGGTCTGAGTCCGGGTCCGGGTTTGGGTCTGAGTCCGGGTGCAGGTCCGGGTCTTGGTCCGGGTTTGGGTCTGAGTCCAGGTCCGGGTTTGGGTCTGAGTCCGGGTCCGGGTCTTGGTCCGGGTTTGGGTCTGAGTCCGGGTCTTGGTCCGGGTTTGGGTCTGAGTCCGGGTCCAGGTCTGGGTCTTGGTCCGGGTTTGGGTCTGAGTCCGGGTCCGGGTCTTGGTCCGGGTTTGGGTCTGAGTCCAGGTCCGGGTCTTGGTCCGGGTTTGGGTCTGAGTCCGGGTCTTGGTCCGGGTTTGGGTCTGAGTCCGGGTCTTGGTCAGGGTCTTGGGTCCGGGTCTTGGTCCGGGTTTGGGTCTGAGTCCGGTCCGGGTTTGGGGTCTGAGTCCGGGTCAGGTCGGGTCTTGGTCCGGGTTGGGTCTGGGGTCCGGGTTTGGGTCTGAGTCCGGGTCCGGGTCTTGGTCGGGTTTGGGTCTGAGTCCGGGTCTTGGTCCGGGTTTGGGTCTGAGTCCGGGTCCAGGTCGGGTCTTGGTCCGGGTTTGGGTCTGAGTCCGGTCCGGGTCTTGGTCCGGGTTTGGGTCTGAGTCCAGGTCCGGGTCTTGGTCCGGGTTTGGGGTCTGAGTCCGGGTCTTGGTCCGGGTTTGGGTCTGAGTCCGGGTCCGGGTCTTGGTCCGGGTTTGGGTCTGAGTCCGGGTCCGGGTCTTGGTCCGGGTTTGGGTCTGAGTCGGGTCCGGGTCTTGGTCCGGGTTTGGGTCTGAGTCCAGGTCCGGGTCTTGGTCCGGGTTTGGGTCTGAGTCCGGGTCTGAGTCCGGGTCTTGGTCCGGGTTTGGGTCTGAGTCCGGGTCTTGGTCCAGGTTTGGGTCTGAGTCCAGGTCCGGGTCTTGGTCCGGGTTTGGGTCTGAGTCCGGGTTTGGGTCTGAGTCTAGGTCCGGGTCTTGGTCCGGGTTTGGGTCTGAGTCCGGGTCCGGGTCTTGGTCCGGGTTTGGGTCTGAGTCCGGGTCCGGGTTTGGGTCTGAGTCTAGGTCCGGGTCTTGGTCCGGGTTTGGGTCTGAGTCCGGGTCCGGGTCTTGGTCCAGGTTTGGGTCTGAGTCTAGGTCCGGGTCTTGGTCCGGGTCCGGGTCTGAGTCCGGGTCCGGGTCTTGGTCCGGGTTTGGGTCTGAGTCCGGGTCCGGGTCCAGGTCCGGGTTTGGGTCTGGGCTCTGTCAGCTTCACTTTGACCTCTGACCTCGACAGAAGAAAATCTTTTGTTCCATCAGATTTTTCATTTTAAACTCGGTTGAATTTCTCACTTTGAATTTTTAAACTGAATTATTTTAATTCTGAATTTTAGTTTCTGAAATTTTAACCAAACTGACCGAGTCCGACCAGACTCAGACTCGACGCTTCAGCTTCTTGGATTTTGATGCATATTTTTTTCACTGTGAATTTTACTCTGAATTTTGACAGTTTGAAAATCTTTATAGTGAATATTTAAAAGTTTTTTTATTTTTAATGGTAATGTTACGGTCCTGTGGTCCTGCCGTGGTCCTGCCGTGGTCCTGCCGTGGTCCTGCTGTGGTCCTGCAGGTGGCGCTGTGGTCCAGACGGGTCATGTGATCATTTTTGTGTCATTTTTAAAAAGACTTGGAGGCAACAGAGGAAATATTTTAATATTTTAATATTTTAGTGTCAGACTCAAAGGAAAATTCACCGACCGAGAATCAAGAATCAAGAATCATGCAAAAAAAAACAACAAAACTACAGGAAACAACAAACAATCTCAATAAATACTTCAGTCCAGGATCAGGAGCAGCTGCAGGTCCAGACCCGGTTTAGTCCAGGGTCCAGACCCGGTTTAGTCCAAGGTCCAGACCCGGTTTAGTCCAGGGTCCAGACCCGGTTTAGTCCAAGGTCCAGACCCGGTTTAGTCCAGGGTCCAGACCCGGTTTAGTCCAAGGTCCAGACCCGGTTTAGTCCAGGGTCCAGAGTTTTTGGACTTTGGAATGTGAAACATCTGGGTTTAAAAGTGACCTGCAGAAACAACGACCTTCAACTTCATCTTCATCTTGAGCTTCCAGCAGCGGCGCCGGAGCCTCAGGTTTAGACAGAAACTCAGGAGGGAAAATTCTACTCAAACTGGAACATTTGTTTAACATTTGAAACCTAAAAACTGTTAATTTTCTGGTGTTTCTTGTGTAAATTACACTGGACTTTTGGACAGAATTCTCCCAGTGTGACGTCAGGAGGATGATGTCATCCTCATGACATCATCCTCCTGACATCATCCTCCTGACATCATCCTCATGACATCATCCTCATGACATCATCCGCGTGATGTCACATGTGTGACATCAGCGTGTGGAGCAGGTTTTTAAACTTTTCTTCATCTGCTTCTTGTTTATAATTTATATTTTTACACATTTTATCATCAGCTCAAAATCATAAAAACCTGTCACACTAAAACCAGAGTCGCCCCCGGCGCCGCCGCCCCCAGGCCCACGCCCCAGGTCCCCGCCCCACGCCGCCGCCCCACGCCGCCGCCCCAGGTCCCCGCCCCAGGCCGCCACGACCTGAGGTCCGGCGTCGTGACGAGGTTGTGCTTCCAAAACGTGGCGTGTTCAGTCACATGATCCAGGCCTCGTACCGCTATTGGACAGTTCTTCGTACTCTGATCTGATTGGCCGATTCAGGTGGAGCGCAGTGACATCACAAGAAGATTTAACCTGACGAGGAGCAGACGACAACAAAGAAGAAGAAGAAGAAGAAGAAGAGGAAGAAGAAGAAGAAGAGGAGGAGCAGAGGGACAGTTGGACAGTTGGACATGTGTCTGTACGTCTGTGTCCTCGTCGGGTCGGTTCTGTGTTGTGGTTCTATGTTCTGTGTTGTGGTTCTATGTTGTGGTTCTGTGTTGTGGTTCTGTGTTGTGGTTCTGTGTTGTGGTTCTAGAGCAGGAGAAGTTCATCGTCGCTGCTCTCTCGGCTCTGGTCCTGGTTCAGTCTCAGGTCCGGGCTCAGGTCCGGGCTCAGGTCCGGGTCCTGGTTCTGGTTCTGGTCCTGGTCCGGTCCAGGTCGGGAGCAGGTTTCTGGGGCTCCCGTGTGGACTTTGCCGCAGCGGGGGCAGGTTCCGTTGACGCGCTGATGCTGCGTCTCTGCGGCGTCTCCGCGGCGACGCTCCGGCCCGTCTCCGCGGTGACGAGGAGGAGGAGGGGGGGCAGGGGGGGGAGGGGTCCGTGTTGCCGCGGTGACGGTCGGGGTTCAGGAGCCGCTGCAGGTTTGAGGCGAGACGCTGAAGAGCCGCGGCCGAAACAGAACCAGAGTCTAGAGTCTGAAACACAAACACACAACATCTGTACACGGGCGGCTGTGATTGGTCGGTCTGTACACGGGCGACTGTGATTGGTCGGTTCGTACCCAGCTGAGGCGCTGCGTTGGCGCTGATGTTGGCGTCTGCGCAGATGATGACGTCGTCGTTTCCACGGGAACCTTCTGCGTGGCTCCGCCCACCGCCCCCTCCGGCTCCGCCTCCTGCAGCAGAGGCTCTGCCCCCTCAGAGCCGTCGCCGTGGAGACGCCCCGCCTCCAGCTCCGACGACACGAGCGCCACCGACGAGCGGCGCCGCGACGAAAACCAGCGACCCCACGAAGAACGGCGAGAAAAACGAAGAGACGGGAACCCGAGCTGAGAACGGACGGCCAGACGCAGGTTCTCCAGGACCGACGCCTGAAAGTACAAGTACATGCATCACTACTACTACTACTACTACTACAGCAGCAAATACTACTACTACAGCAAATACTACTACTACTACTACAGCAAATACTACTACTACTACAGCAAATACTACTACTACTACTACTACTACAGCAGCAAATACTTCTACTACTACAGCAGCAAATACTACGACTACTACTACTACAGCAGCAAATACTACTACTACAGCAGCAAATACTACTACTACTACTACAGCAGCAAATACTACTACTACTACTACAGCAGCAAATACTACTTCTACTACTACAGCAGCAAATACTACGACTACTACTACTACAGCAGCAAATACTACTACTACTACTACAGCAGCAAATACTACTACTACTACTACAGCAGCAAATACTACTACTACTACTAGAGCAGCAAATACTACTACTACTACTACAGCAGCAAATACTACTACTACTACTACAGCAGCAAATACTACTACTACTACTAGAGCAGCAAATACTACTACTACTACTAGAGCAGCAAATACTACTACTACTACTACAGCAGCAAATACTACTACTACTACTACTACTACGCAATACCAATACTGCACATGTTAGACCAACACTACAGAGGAAACTCCTGGTCCTGGGTCTGGTCCTGGGTCTAGGTTTTGGGTCTGGTCCTGGGTCTGGTCCTGGGTCTGGTCCTGGGTCTGGGTCTCGGGTCTGGTCCTCGGTCTAGGTCTTGGGTCTAGGTCTTGGGTCTAGGTCTTGGGTCTAGGTCTTGGGTCTGGTCTCCTCGGTTTAGGGTGTAGGTCTTGGGTCTAGGTCTTGGGTCTAGGTCTTGGGTCTAGGTCTTGGGTCTAGGTCTTGGGTCTGGTCCTCGGTCTAGGGTGTAGGTCTTGGGTCTAGGTCTTGGGTCTAGGTCTTGGGTCTAGGTCTTGGGTCTGGTCCTCGGTCTAGGGTGTAGGTCTTGGGTCTAGGTCCGGGGTCTAGGTCCTGGGTCTAGGTCCTGGGTCTGGGTCCTGGGTCTGGTCCTGGTCCAGACCTGGTTCCCGGAGCAGACGGGGAAGTCCTCGACGGGGGGGATCAGACCCTGGGCGATCAGCTGACCGTAAGAGGGCGGAGCCTCTCTCCTCAGAAGCTCCGCCTCCACGCGGGACAACTGAGTCTCGAACGACCTGCAGCCAATCAGAGAAGAGCACGACAACTGTAACTCCTCCCACAATCTGACAGACACACACACACAATACACACACACAATACACACACACAGACACACACACCAACACACACACACAGACACACACAATACACACACAATACACACACACAGACACACACACACACACACACAGACACACACACAAACACACACACACACACACACACACACAGACACACCACAATACACACACAATACACACACACACACACAACACACACACAGACACACACACAACACACACACACAGACACACACAATACACACACAATACACACACACAACACACACACACAGACACACACAATACACACACAATACACACACACAATACACACACAATACACACACACAGACACACACACCAACACACACACACAGACACACACAATAAACACACACACACCTGCGTTCGAACATTCGTAGTGAGTAGAGTTTGCAGGTGCAGCCGAGGGCGATGACGAGCAGGAGGCCGCAGATGAGCGACCCGATCACCGCCGCCGTGATCACTCTGGTCGGCACGGTAACAGGACACGCCTCCTCGTCGCTGCCGTCGCCGCAGTCGTCCTGAGCGTCGCACACCCACGACTCGAACACGCAACGGTTATTCTGCAACGCACACATCACAACATTACAACACAACACACACACAACACACTCAAGATCACCACACAACACACACAAGTTGTATTTGTACACAGCATTTGTAGTACTTGCAGTAGAGTGTAGTAGAGTGCAGTATAATTTAGTACCTTGCAGTGGAAGTTGTATTTGTACACAGTACATGTAGTAGAGTGTAGTACTTGCAGTACCTTGCAGTACTGGCAGTACCTTGCAGTACCTTGCAGTACTGGCAGTACCTTGCAGTACTTGCAGTACTGGCAGTACCTTGCAGTGGAAGTTGCCCGGTTGGCAGCTGTAGCAGTTCTTCTCGTCGGAGCCGTTGGGGCAGCGGTTCTGGTAGTTGCATCGGTCCGATCGGGGGTAACAGGCTCCGTTCCTGGAGCAGGGGAACTCGTTCTGTTGGCACCACGAGCAGTTGGACTCGTCCCGACCGTTGGGGCAGTGCCAGAACCCGTCACAACGATTCGACGAACTGTAACAACCGAAACCGTCTCCACACGGAAGCTCCCAGGGCAGACAGAAGCCCTCCACCTGAAACACACCAGACCGCCTTAAATATACCAGACCGCCTTAAATATACCAGACCGCCTTAAATATACCACACCGCCTTAAATATACCAGACCGCATTAAATATACCACACCGCCTTAAATATACCAGACCGCCTTAAATATACCAGACCGCCTTAAATATACCACACTGCCTAAATATATCAGACCGCATTAAATATACCAGACCGCCTTTAAATATACCACACGCCTTAAATATACCAGACCGCCTTAAATATACCAGCACCGCCTTAAATATACCACACCCGCCTTAAATATATCAGACCGCATTAAATATACCAGACCGCCTTAAATATACCACACCGCCTTAAATATACCAGACCGCCTTAAATATACCACACCGCCTTAAATATACCAGACCGCCTTAAATATACCACACGCCTTAAATATACCACACCGCCTTAAATATATTACCACACCGCCTTAAATATATCAGACCGCATTAAATATACCACCGCCTTACCGCCTTAAATATACCACACCGCCTTAAATATACCACACCGCATTAAATATACCACACCGACCGCCTTAAATATACCAGACCGCCTTAAATATACCACACCGCCTTAAATATACCACACCGCCTTAAATATAAGATAAATACCAGACCGCCTTAAATATACACCCAAATATACCACCGCCTTAAATATACCACACCGCCTTAAATATATAGCAGACCGCATTAAATATACCAGACCGCCTTAAATATACCACACCGCCTTAAATATACCAGACCGCCTTAAATATACCACACCGCCTTAAATATACCACACCGCCTTAAATATACCAGACCGCCTTAAATATACCACACTGCCTTAAATATATCAGACCGCATTAAATATACCAGACCGCCTTAAATATACCACACCGCCTTAAATATACCACACCGCATTAAATATACCACACCGCCTTAAATATACCAGACCGCCTTAAATATACCACACCGCCTTAAATA